GAAAAAAAAAAGAAAAAAAAAAGAAAAAATGCTCCACATCACTCAGCATTCGGGAAATGCAAATCAAAACCACACTGAGTTATCACCCCAGTTAGGATGGCTAATATTCAAAAGACTGTGAACGATATATGTTTGTGAGGTTGCAGAGAAAAAGGAACTCCCATACATTGTTGGTGGGACTGCAAAATGGTGCAGCCTCTATGGAAAATGGTATGGAGGTTCCTCAAACAATTGCAGATAGATCTACCATATGACCCAGCTATCCCACTGCTGGGAATATACCCAGAGGAATGGAAATCATCAAGTCAAAGGTATACCTGTTCTCCAATGTTCATTGCAGCACTCTTTACAATAGCTAAGAGTTGGAACCAGCCCAAATGTCCATCATCAGATGAGTGGATACGGAAAATGTGGTATATCTACACAATGGAATACTACTCTACTATAAAAAAGAGTGAAATACTGCCATTTGCAACAACATGGATGGACCTAGAGAGAATTATATTAAGTGAAACTAGTCATGCACAGAAAGAGAAATATCACATGTTCTCACTTATTTGTGAGAGTTAAAAAATAAATAAATACACAAACAACCTGGGGGGAGGGGAGGGAAGAAAAACACAACAATTACAATTCCTTGAAGTTGATATGACAAGCAAACAGAAAAGAGATTGTTGGGAGGGAGGGGGAAGAGGGAGGAGGGATGGAGGTTTTGGTAATGGGCCACAATAATCAACCACTTTGTATATTGACAAAATAAAATAAAATTAAAAAATATATATAATAAAAAGTTAGGAAATAATATATCTGAGGTTAAAAATGCTGTATTTAAATTTTAAGGGCTGGCCTGTGGCTCACTTGGAAGAGCGTGGTGCTGACAACACCAAGTCAAGGATTAAGATCCCCTTACCACTCATCTTTTGGAAAAAAAAAAAATTATGTTAAACTGCATAGTAACATTTGATTCATTTCCTAAGAAAATTATTAATTAGGAAAACAGGTAATCAAACCAAGTCTTATCTCGTATTTTGTTAGACTCTAATATCATGGTAAAATATAGTCCTTCATTAAGTCAGGCAAAGTACTCATTTATAGAGTGGCAGGAGACTCAGTAAGAAATTCACAGCACTGCTTTCTTTGAGGGTGTGAACATGCTCTGCATGCAAGGAAGCAAACTTGCAAGTAGAGCACTGTGACAGCAATGGTTCCAGAGGTTGAGGAACAATCTCTGCTGTTCCCAGGTGGATGGGCACTGGACTACTAACCTAGTATGTTTGCAACTAGAACCCTAAGCAATGTGTAGCTGGTACAGGTAAGCCCCTTGTTGCCTCTGAGAGGAGACTCAAGTATAAATGTAGAAAATGCTTCCAGTGGTAGCTGTCCTGCTCAGGCTAATCACTTACTTGTATTTAGCCAGGGCCCCCGGCAGAAGGGTGGCCAAGCTTCCCGAGCCATGGCCAATGTAAGTCTGGTACTCCTCTGGAGATGACTAGTGCATGACTAGTCATCTCCAAACAAGCATTTAAATATTTTATAAATAGTCACAATAGGCCAAAGGCCTTTCATTTACCAAAGTATTTAGGATCTAAGATATCTTTTTTAAAAAAACTGGCACCTGCTAATTGCTCCACTGTCCTGTTACATACCTTCTTGGTAGTTGTGTGCACCATCTGGCAAAGCAAGGAAGGGCAAGTATTTCCATTCTTCAGGTAAAGTGTGGCTGTCATGTCCATCTCCTGGAATCAGGGGCGGGTAAGAGAATTCAACCTACAATGGTAAAGAATGTTAACCAAAAGGTGGTTGAGTAAAGGAAGCATTTTATTCTGACAGGCAAAAATGCTTTTAAATCTTGAATAACAGAAGTGGGCATAAACCATACTTGTTGATGCCATTTGACATTATGAGCATACCCTATAGCACAGAAGAGGAAAAAGAAAAAAGTAGTAAGAGAAGAAAAGATTTGTAAGCCTCTCCCCTTTTCTGATTTAAGGGCTGTTAAACTTTAATGTGTACAAGAGGGGAGTGGGAGAAGGTAGTAGTGGTAGTAATGGTGATGGTGGTGGTGGTGGTGACTGGATTGGAGACTGAGCTTTGGGAGCTGTCATCAAATATATAGTAATTGAAGCCATGGAGCCCTGAGGAAAACCAACATCCTACACTTCATTGAGCAGAAGTCCGATAAAGGAGCCTGAAGTTGTGTCTTGAACCTCCCACTAGGATAGTTCAAATAAGGCAACTGCTCAAACTTTAAGCAATCAAATAATTACTTTGCTCTACTTCCACATTCACCCTATTGAAAGCTCCTTCAGCTGAGCCCCAACCACTTCTGGTTTGGAGCTGCCTGATTCATGAAGCATTGTCTTCTCAGATTCTAAAATTTTAATGTGCTAAAGCTTATCTTTTAACACTTTTGACTCAGCAATTTCAGTTTTAGTAATTTATCCCAAGGATACTCTCACATATTCACACAGATACGTACAAAAATATTCAATGTTCGCAGCAGCATTCATTGTACCATAATAATTGGAAAACTAAATATTCATCAAAAGAGTAGTTAAATTTTACACCAGTTCTATCCAGCTATTAAAAAGAATGTTAAATTCACATATTTTGATAGAGAGAGAGAGAGAGAGAGAGAAAAGATAGCCATGTTACACTGTGTGGCAGGCAAAATAATGGCCCTTCAAAGATGTCCATATCCTAATATCTTCAATCTGTCAAGATGTCACCTTACATGGCAAAAGGAACTTTGCAGATATGATTAAGAATCTTGAGCTGGGGATTATTCAGCTGGGCCCAATGTAATCACAAGGGTCCTTATAGGAGAGAGGCAGAAGAATCAGAGAGAGATATTTGAAGATGCTATGCTATTGGCTTTGAAGATGGTGGGAATGCAGGTGACCTCCAGAAGTTGGACTAGGCAAGAACATCAAGTCTCCCCTAAAACCTCCAGAAGAAATGGAGCTCAGCCAATGCCCCTTAGAATTAAGGGCAGATGTAGAAATCTATCTTCTTTTCTGAAGATTTAGTTAAGTTGTCAATGGCTGGAAGTTTAATTAATTAATATCTGAAGCCATGCTGTGTTCAAATTATTGTCCCAATTCCCAATTCTACTGAAGGAAGATCAATTTTGGGTGGCTCTAGTTCGAACTCAAAATGCAGTTGACTCATAAAATTGTTATAAAGAGAAGTTAAGTGTAGATATTATATATCCTCCAAGAATTCCACGAGTAAAATTTAGGCTGTTCTAGGTTGACTTGGACCCAAAGTGTTTATAACATTGTTTCTTTGGCAAAATGTGTTCAGAATGTCAAACAGCCAACTTTTAGAACACAGCTTATTCATAAAATTGTAGACTACCTGTACTGTGTTGGCAGCTTTCTAGAATTCTTTTCTCCAGCTTGTGGATTTGCTACCAACAAATACTTGCATTTGGAAACTGCTGAACTTGCTAATCAAGCTCAAAACAGTCTTTTATACAAACTCTTTTCTATATCTATATGAGTGTACTTCAAAAAGTTCATGAAAAGATTTGTATTTTCTTTTAAATTTGTTTTCCAAAAACTTTTGAAGCACCCTTATATATATATATACACAATAATTTTCATGGCTATACAGTATTACGTCATTGTTTAATTAATTCTCCATTGTTGAACATTTTTTTCTAGTTTTTTTTTTACATTGTTATAAAGTATTCAGTACTAATGAAGTGTTGTATAATAAAAAAATATATATTTGGTATATGTCCCTGGTTCCTGGAATAAAGCTCCAAAAACTCTTGGAAATTCTGAGTGATAGGAGCATATTCTGTTATCCACAATAAGCCCAATCAACTGTACCTCACGTTATGCTAAGGTGACTCTTGGGTGGGGGTGGGGGCGGTTCGATAGCTTCAGATTTGGGCAGGTCATCAGAAACAACAAGCCTTGATTAGAGAAATGGAACTTTCAGCCCCACCCGTTGACCTCCAGGGATGGGAGAGGGAATAGAGATTGAGTTCAATCACCAATGGCCAATGATTTCATCAATCATGCCTATGTAATAAGATTTCCATAAAAATCCCTAAAACAACGGGGTTTAGGAAGCTCCCAGGTTGGTGAACACACACATCTAGGTGCTGGGAGGTGCCACACTGGAGAGGGCATGCAAGCTCTGCACCCCTCCCCATACCTTGCCCTGTGCATTTTGTCCATCTGGCTGTTCCTGAGTTGTGTTCTTAAGTGAGTGCAGTCTTGTGGGACTGAGCCCTTAAACCTATGGAGTTTGTTGCTAACTCAAGAAGTTATGCCAGAATAGGACTGAATTGTAGGACACTTGGTAGGTGTCCGAGATTCAGAAAAAAGAATCAGTTATTTCCAAATTGACAGTATATATACTATGGTTTCTCTTCAGATAGTATAAATCTTTTGCCTTTTACCAAATTGATGGTATATTTAAATCTTAAATTGTATATTTTTCACATTTTGAATATAGACCAAATATTTTATATGCCCCCTTTCTATATGTCCAAATTAATCCAGACAGAAACAATAATTCATGATACAGAAGTCTAAGAGGAATACTCTTGGAAATTATCTGAGACTCTTAATACTCAGTTAAATCAGGAGGCAATTTAAATAATAATGCCAATTAAACTAACCAGTACCACAGAAAGTAAAGACAGGTGTAGCAGACTGCCTCACTGAACAACTCCAGGGGGAACCACAAACACTGTTTATGTGAATGTCTCTCCCTGGAGTTGTGTCGTGAAGTCCACACAGCTGTACATGGCAGCCCCAAATATATGTGAAAAATCACAGATAAAACCCAAAGTAAATCCCCGACACTAAGAAACACTTAGACTGATTATCATCCAGTAGGATTACTAGTAAATAGTGAAAGTTCATGGCCCAAAATCTAAGTTAAATTTGGGGATCAAAGATGGTGACAACAGATGTGTGGCAGACGTATCCAATGTCCCCCCAAAGGATGTTATTAAGTCATGCAAATTTCAAATCTCTCTTTATGTAACTAACATTTATGTGGCCAAATTTACTTTGATCCCAATTAGTAGTAATAATTTACATTAGAAGGGGAGAAGAGGGAAAAAGAAGACAATGGCTAATTTTGAAAGTGAAAGCTGAAGATGCTCTAATCACAAGGAATAAAAAGGCAGTTTTTCTAAATGCTAAATGAACTATGCAAGAAAGTGTGATATATGTTTGTCCTCTAGCAATTGTAAAAATTACTACCCCTTTTCATAGTTTACAAATCCAATTGGTGTCCTCTAGTCAGATTCCATTTACTTTGTCCTCAGAAAAAAAAAGATGGAAAAAACAACAAAGAAAAACTACAAAAACAAAGCAATTAAGACAGTATCCCAGTGTGAACTTCGAGTACTTCACAAGTACCCTTTGTTCTCTTTCTAACAATGTAATATCCATTTCACTGTCAGAGAACCGTAAGACAAATAGAAGCCATAAAGCCAAACTATCAGCACACAAACTAAACACATTTACGGACCTTATAAACAATGACACAACATGGCTTACTGAGAGGAGGAACTGTACCTAGGGTAGGTACAGACCAGAGAAGTTCTGAAGTGCTGGAATTGTTCTAGATCTTGATCTGAAAGGTTCTTAAGTATACACATGTAAAGTTTCATGTACTTTATTGTTCATAAGTTATACCTCAATTTAAGAAAATAAATAATACTTAAAAAAAAATCGGTATGAAGACCAGCTATTTAAATGCATGGACATCTGAAATTGGATAAACATCGAGTTCCAGTCCCAGCCTGCTACTTAGTTGGCTATGTGACCTTGAGCAAGTCACTTATCATCTTTAAACTTCAGTTTCCTCATCTATAAAATTCTTGGTGCTAAATGAAATTTGTGGGATGCTATTATTATTACTATTTTTTTTTTTTTTTTTGCAACTGACTGGTATGGGGATCCGAAGCTGTGACCTTGAAGTTATAAGGCTGTGCTCTAACCAACTGAGCTAACCAGCCAGCCTGGGATGCCATTATTTTGGATTGAGTGCCTGCACTAAGCTGAACAGACCAGATCAAACTAGAAGAGTCACTCATAAGTGCCACATAATTGAACTAAACTTTGAAACTAGTTTTCCAGAAAAACATGAGATTCACAGCAACCAATCAGAAAGGGTCCAGTTTAGTTGAGCTGGCATGATAAGGAGGTCCCTCTGTTTTAAAACTATAGGAAAATAACTTTAAAATGATCTGCTTTTTGTTCCCTGTTTCTGCTTTCTTCAACCTCTTTCTGCCTGTAAAGACAACCTCCTCTGCTGAGCTTATTGAAGAGCCTTGTCTAAATCTTTAGATGAGATGCTCCCTGATTTCTGAACTGTTTACAAAAGCCAATAGATTTTCAAACTAAATTTACTGACATTTTGCTTAATGGTTCATTCTTTAATAAATGAGGAATAAATGAGATATTAAACACATCTAAAACAGTGCTTTGTACATGGTAAACATTCAATAAATGACAGCTATTATTAATAATATTTCCACAGAGCAGCAATAATGAATTGCACGGTGACTAAAACCTTATACTGGCATAAGCTCTCATGAATAGTTTTTAAAATAATTCACAACAGATAGGAATTATGTTTAGGGAACACTTTATGGAGCTTAGAATCTTTGCTATAACTTGTTTACAAAGACGAAAGGAAGCCATTCTACTTAACAGAAATTTATGCTCTCAATACAGAAATTATATTAACATCCAAAGAAGTCTGGATTTCTTTATTAAACTGTGGCTTTTACGTCTCTGAAGATACCATGGTTACTCAGACATTACATGAAGATAGAACACAAAAAATAAGCAGAGCCATTGTTTCCTTGAGTTATATTCTTTTTTTCTAAATTATGTACTGGTAAGGCTCAAAATTTAAAGAATGTAAATAGAGAATTGTTACTAAGCCCTAGCTGTGCACAAATGTAAGGAATTTAAAGAAAGAAAATCATATGAATAAAAGACAGTTTTTGAAAAAGCTCTTTCAAAAGCATTGAAGAATGCAGGGTTTTGCGATTTATTGTCATAAGGTAGACAGAGTTCAGAGGTTGTGACAATTTATAAATTCACAGGTAAACACCCTATCAAGATACAGAATTTCATCATCCCAGAAAGTTCCTCTGTTCAGACTGCTATCACCAAACATTAGTTTTGCCTGTCTCTGAACGGAAGGGCATGCTTCTGACTGTAGCCTCTGATGATGAGTATTCAGCAAAAGTTTGCTGATTTCAACTTAGAATCATGGAAGTGGAGGGAGTCTTAGTAATCAACTATTTTAAAACTCTTATTTTACAGACGAAGAAACCAAAGTCCATAAACATTAGGCAACTTGCCCCAGCTTATACACCTAATAACCATTAGGGCCAAACTGAAACTCGGGTCTCTTGATACCCATATGTACCTTGCTATTGATCAAGCAGAGAGTAGTAAAAGAGAATTTATCAGAGCTAGAAGTACAAAATGATATTAGGAATATTGTTCATAAACTTCGC